GGGAACTGTTCTTCACCTGCAGGGAGAAAACGTAAGCTAAAGACACATAGCTGAGACCCCTTTCCAGCAGCATGGATTTGTTTGGGCAAACACACACTAGTTTTAATTATTAGAAGCAGTCGATAGATACTAGAAACAACTGTGACACAGAGGGTGCGTTCAGACAGGGCGTTTCTGCCGGCATAAACTGTACCAGTTGGAACCGGTGCAGTTTATGCCAGCAGAAACGCGATCACACTTACCTCCCTCACAGTGGAAGCCATTGCAATACGCCCGCCCACACTCGTCTTTGGGGGTTTTTTTTACTTAGTTTGCGCATAGGCAGCCATCCATAGAATGGCAATCTTCGCGCATGCGCAAAAAACCCTGTCGTACATTTAAACTTTAAAGGTAAGGACTTACCTTTAAAGTTTAAAGAGCACAGTAGCCTCCCGGAGGTCCCGGACGCCTCCGAAACGCTACAGTAAGGCCCTTTTCTTTTTTTAAAATACAAATGGCAGGGCGAAGCTTCGCCCAAGCGCATATCGCCGTCCTTAAAAAAAAAAAAGGCGGGCAAAAATCGGAAGCCTGAGGCTTCCGAATGGAAGTAGCTGTGCAACGGTGGAGAGCGATCAGATGGCGAGGTACAGCGTTTACAACCGTTGCACTCAGGATACCACCACTTGGGGACCTAGTAGCAGAGTGCAACGGTGTAAAGGGCTTTACACCGGTTAGGGACAGGAGGCAGATGTTCGCCGTCTGAACGCCGGTGAGTACAACGATTGCAACCGGCACCTATACCGATGTAAAGCCCCCGTCTGAACGCACCCTGAGACTCAAAAAAAGGCCTCCTCGGCTGGCCTATGAAGAGCTTTGGCTGGCTATTAGTCCAGTTCTGTTTCTACCCCAAATTTCCCTAACAGTGAGGAATGTGTATGAATCTTAGGCCAGCCCTGCAGAATTTGTCAGCCGTGTCTCTTCCCAGACAGGTGTGGATGCTGGCTGTCCACCTAGTTGCATTTTTACCTTGCCCCTTTCTCTTAGGAGCTCAGGTCGTGTATGTGGATCCTCCTTCCCCATTTTTCGCTCACAACAATCCTATGAGGTAGGGTAGGCTGAGAGTGACTGGCCCAGCATCACTCAGCAAGCTTCCATGGCAGAGAAAAAAAATCTAAACCAAGATCTTAACCACTACACTAACACAGGCCTGTAGGGCTTTGCTTGATTTCTGTGGCAATGCTAGGTCTGCAGAACGGCCTCTCAAAAGACATATGGAGGGCCCCTCCACGTCCACAGCTTGCAAAACTTCATTGTTTTGGAGGACATTTTTCAGATCAGCTTTTTTTTTTTTAGACTGTTTTATAGTTTGCCAGGCACTGACAAACTGTTATGGGCTGCTCTGATCCCCTGACGACTGTTTTTATTTTGTCAAGTTGTACGGCATCCTGAGAGGCGGAAAAAGATAAATATGGTATTCTAGGCTGTGAAAAAGAAACTAGGCCTCTACCCTGTGAAGGTTCTCATCCTCACAGACAGCGATAGTCTACACCTGGGACACCCTTGATTTTTCTTTCTTGGTCCTCTGACATCTTTCCCCTGGCCGGAATGAGACCACAAAGGAGGGCATGCTTCTTATCTAACATGCATCCTTCTCCGTTCCCAAGAGTGGTGCCTCTCATCTGCCAAGTAGCAACTGATAACAGGAAGACACATTATTGGAAGCAGAGGTGGTCAAGAAACCAAATTGCACACTCCTAATTGCTAATCTCCTGAGCCCTCTTGCCAACACGAGCAGAAAAGATTAGATAATACTTTCAAATGCCGTAAAAGAGGGTAATTTTTTTAAAAAATATCTCAGATAAGATCCACCTTGGCTACTCACAAGGGCAGGAGCGGAGACGAACTTTGCACAGGTATACATATTCAGGGACGTAGGGAGGTGGCCACACTCAACAGCTGGAAAAGAACCAAACACCATGACATTAGGAGAGGAGTGCCCAAAACATTTCTATTGCTTGCTGCCAATATAAAGACATAATAGTAGGAAGGTTTATGGCAGGATTGGTACACGAAAGACGACACAGTCCAAGGCTTGGCAGTCATAAGAATCACCATGAAAGGAATATGCAACTTGGAAGATCATGCAAAGGCCCCTCCCCGGTGTGCACAAAGAGGATACAACACAACACCTACAGGGCAGAAGAATGTAAATGTTAGTGGAAACAGGCTGAGCAAAGCCTTGCTTAGGGATCCCCAACATGGTGCCTGTGGGGGCCATGGTGCGCCAGGGCTCTTTTTGTAGCAGGAACTCCTTTGCATATTAGGCCACACACCCCTAATGTAGCCAATCCTCCAAGAGCTTACAGAGCTCTTCTTATAGGGGCTACTGTAAGCTCTTGGAGGATTGGCTACATTAGGGGGTGTGTCACCTAATATGCAAATGAGTTCCTGCTACAAAAAGAGCCCTGAATTTAATTTGGTGCCCACCAAGTATTTTCAGAAAGTGGGCGAGGCTCTTGCTCTGATTGGACATGCCCATTAAAATAACATTATTTCAGTAGTAGCGGCTACTACCACAGTGTTTGTTTTATTGTCTCTCACCCCTACTACCCGGTGTATTTTTAAATTACCCCTCATCTCCTGTCCACTTGGGCTTCCTCTGTGTGTGTGTGTCTGCACCTCCCATGGAAGCCATTTTGTGGTTGCACCCACACCGCCCTGTGCCAGAATTCCAAAGGTGCTCACAGGCTCAAAAAGGTTGGCAATGCCTGGCCGAGAGGCCTGAGTGCTCAGGTGGCCAAGAAATTTGGCAACGCTTTCATTCCTGCGCAAGATCCTCCAAGATTTGGTGCTGGAACGTCCAGACTGGATTCCAGTTTTTGTCTGAACAGTCCTTAAGCAAGAACCTACAAGGCTTGCGTTCTCCTTTGGGTTCTGTGTCTCGTCCAAATCCTCAAGCGCCCAACGTCGAGAAACAGGACCAAGATGACTAGAGAGAAGCCTGAAGATACTATTAAAATCAGCTTCGCTTTTTGTACCTTTTAAATGTCTACCAAAGTCAGATGGGCCTCGCATCATCTCTGGAAGATGGTCAGTCTGGGCACTTGGGGACCCCCTCTCAGAGAAGACCAAAGAATCGGAGTAAGCTCTCAAGAAAGCCAGTCAGGATTCTTGCTACTGAAAGCAGCGCATGGATGGTATACTTCAGAAAATGCTCTGTATTGAATCTAAGCTGTCTCCCCACAACCACAGAATAGCAGCACATCAGAAACTGAAGCATGAAGTCTACCCGGAGAGACCGGGCCATGCCAGTGTTTATTTACTGACTTCATTTATAGCCCCTCTTTTCTCCCCAGTGGACAAAGTGACTTAGACTTGCTCACAAATGTAATGCTACTAGCTTTTTTCACTCACGAGGCAGACTTTCTGCTCACAACACTGTTAGAGGGAACACTAGTTGAGTTTAGAGGGAACACTGGTTGAGGAGTCTTGAGGTGATTCTGGATCTCCACTTTCTATGGAGGCCCAGGTCACCACATTTGCCAGATTGGCCTTTTACCATCTCCACCTGATCAGGCAGCTGGTTCTCTATCTCACCCCTCAGGACTTAGCTACAGTGATCCACGCAATGGTCACTTCCGGGCTGGATTACTGTAACTCACTCTAGGTGGGACAACCTTTGAACGTGATCCAGAAACTGCAGCTAGTGTAGAATGTGGCGGCGCATCTGCTGACGGCAACACCTTTGCGGGCGCACATCCAGCCGGCACTTCACTGACTGCACTGGCTGCCAATTGAATACTGACTTCGATTCAAGGTTATACAACTTTCTCCCCTTCTCTGCCCACCAGAAGCTGCACTGGCCCTAGTTTTTAGCCCTGATAGGCCACTCTTCTTTCTTTCTTTCTTTTTTCCAACAAAGCACCACTTGGGAAAACAACTGCCCCAGGTTTAGAGGCCAGCACACTGACCTCTTCTTATGGGGATGATACACAGATGAAGCACATTTGGTCCCCATGGTTTGTGCATGTGAAGGATAATGTAGACCATGCTGGTCTCCAACCTATCCTGAAGTCAATACTAGCCACTAGTGGAGTAGGACAACCTCAGCAGTTAACTTCTGGAACTCACTGCCACTAAATAAGACAATGCAAATAGCTAGGTGAGCTTTAAAGAAGGAAAATAAAACCATCTCTACATAGGTTTCTGAGAGTCAGAGCTGATGGGTTTTTTATTTATTTGATTTTTATCCTGCCCTACCCCGCAAGTGGGCTTGGGGCAGCTCACAACATGTAAGTATAACAATTTAAGTGATTAAAACATAATATGATAAAAGACTAATGAAAGCTTAAGTCGAAATAAATTTTGTTAACCTCTGAAGTGCCACTGGATTCCGCTTTTATTTTGCTGCTACAGCCGAACATGGCTATCCATCGGGGACTGTCATCTTTTAAAAAGGATTAGACTTTACTACAGAAGAAGAGACTGATCATCAGCCAGGATACCTAAAACAAACCTCCACTGTGAAAGACAGTGTACCTGCCAATGCTGGGGTCAATCAGAGAGGGCTGTCAAGGCAATTGCTATGTTCAACACAAGCCATACATTTTGCAATGCTTAGTTCATGCTTCTAGAGCAGCACAAGCCCTAAAGGAAAAGAAAGCTGCTTTTTCTAAGAGAGAGACTTTATGTGCCCTTGAGCATAACAGTATAGACAAATTGACAAGAAAGGAACAGTTCCCTCTGTGCTAACACCTGCAGGTTCGCCCAATGAAACCAAAGGACAATTAATTCAGGATAGGTAAAAGGAATTACTTCCTCACATAGTAAACAATTAATTCATGGAATTCATCACCATAGGATATAGTAACAACCACTAGTTTGGATTGCTTTAAAAGGGGACTAGATAAATTCATGGAGGATTGGTCTATCAATATCCATGATGGCTAAAGGGGGAACCTCCAGGCGCTAAGGCAGTCTATCCCTCAATACCTCCTCTGTGTGTGTGTGTGTGTGCGCGTGTATGCACACATATATGAGGAGCCTTCATGCCCTACTTTTGGGCTTCCTGAAGGGATCCTGGTTAGTCACCCTGGGAAAGTGAAGACTGGACCTTTAGTCCGATCCAATGGGTATCTTCTTATATTGCTTCATGTGACTGAAGCATTGCTGCAGAACAATACAGATACACAGCAAAAGCTGATTCATATATTTTAAAACACACAAGCACCACACACAAATGTGGCAGTCTTTGCAGGTTCAAACCTTTTCAGGATGCAAGTAGCAATTTTGGAACACTCCCCCATATCAAACTCCCTGCATATGGAAAGTTAGCATGACTGGGAGAAAGCCAGGAAAAATCTTTTCACATATAGGGAATTTTGATACGGGGGGCAGTCAAACAAAGGCTCTTCTGCCAGAATTCTAATACAGTGCCATAGTTCCATGAAAGCACCATATGAGGTTTTTTTTTAAGTTAGCATCAGCTCGGTTGTGACAAGCAGCGATTGATGTGGTGACCCTAAGTGCATGCAGAAGAGGCCTGTAAAGCAGGGGTTCAGCCACTACATGACCAGACTGGTCTGCCACATATTGCCTCAGTTGTTGGTAAAGTCTATCCACGTTGTGCTAAACCATTGGTTGTCTGGAAGCCAACTAAGTAACAGGAGAACTCAAAAGTCAAAGTGACTGATAAACCTATATCAAACTTCAGACCATTCACCTTTGCAAAACACACAGATTCCAGAGGCTAAACACCATTATCCCAAGGGTCATGAAACTATCCCCTCATTCCTTGGAGCGATTCATAACAAAACGTTCACAGGCTCTTCATACGCATTCCCCTACCCCCCAGTGCACATGCCAAACTGGCCTTCAGATGCTTATTCAGTAGAGCTGGTAGCTCACAGAGCTCCACAGTTAGAACGGCCAACCTCCAGGTGGTGGCTGAAGATCTCCTAGAATTATAACTAATCTCCAGGAGAGAGCGATCAGTTCACCTATAGAAAATGGCCACTTTGGAAGCCAGACTCTATGGTATGGCATTATACCCTTCTGATGTTTCTCCCATTCCCAAACCCCACCTTCCTCAGGCTCCACCCCGCAAATCTCCAAGTATTTCCCAACCTGGAGCTGGCAAACCTGTTCACAGTCCTTTTCAGCCTCTCCCACAGGAGTCCCCAACATGGTGCTCGGGGGCACCATAGCACCCGCTGACATCTTTCCTGGTGCCCACCAAGTATTTTTAGAAAGTCGGCAGGACCAGCTGGGGCTTTTGCCCAGTAAGACTTCTGATTGGCTGTTAGATTTTTTAAAAACAATGCTTTGGCAGTAGCTGCCACCACAGCACAAAGAACTTCACTTTGTGTCTGAAAGTAAGCTGCAGCAGCCATTTTGTGGCTGGCTCCACCTCCTGCTACAGCTGTACCCCCGATGCTGTGTCAGAATTCCAAAGGTGCCCGGAGGTTCAAAAAAGTTAGGGACTCCTGCTCTACCAATACCAGTTATTTCAGGGACAGTTTTCTACCTCTCAAATGAAATGAATCCAAAAACCAAAGCCACAGGCTACCATTCATTAGCACCAACCCAAGTGACATAAAACACTGCAAGCTTTTGAATTCTCCAGAACTCTTCACCAGGCTGCATGTTGCAAAGAAAGGGGGGCAGAGGGGGAAGAAAGCAGATATCTCAGGTTATGATCTTAAACACCTTCTCATGACCTGCTTCTGCCATGCTTTTTATACCAACCTGGTTACGCATTCTAGAGAGCTCTAAATATTGCACACCGCTTTTGTGTCATTTTGGCTGGTCCGGATAAAAGGAATTATGCAGCTTTTGTTTTTGGATCTATTTTGTCTTCTTATTTATGGTTTTTAGCATCTTACTCTTTTCATTTTGCTTTGTACCAGCAGTTACCTACAACTTTTTTACAGTCATTGAAGACATTCCAGATGGTGATAGCACTGTGGTGCTTTTCCCCTATTCTGCTGCAACTCAAGGCCACGCCTGACCTCACTTATCTTCTGTCTCTTCAGCCTCTTTCAGAAGAGATCTGCCTCTGTGAAAGTTTCTGAAATTCTTCCCAACTGCACAAGGCAGCTTAGCCATTAACTAGAGGGTAAGAATTCTTTCAAGTTGCTTCTTAAAGCAGAATAAAACAAGAAAAATTCTAATAAAGAGCCTTGCATTGGCAGCATTTTCTACGGCACATAACAGTGAAGTCACCTTATACTCAGTGAGCCTGCTGGTCCATCAAGGACTGCCTTCTCTAATTGGAAGCCGCTTCCTGGGGGTCTCAGTCTCACATGCTACCTGTTCTTTTTAACTGGAAATACCAGGGATTGGACCAGTGACCTTTTGCATGCCAAGCAAATAGCCCCTTAACCATACAATCATAGTAGGGAGACCTAGTCAACACTTGGTTGCCAGTTTATCAGACTGAACTGCTCCTGTGTTTTCAAGAACAGCTTGATCTACAGATCCACCTTCTCAGTTCTGCTGGACAAGCTTCAGTTAAAACCATAGGAGCAAGGCTCTGTAAACCAGAAAGCTGACCCTATGTTGACCCAGAAAAAGCCACCCAAATTCATAAAGAGGATTTCATGTAAATGTCGTAACAATTTGTTTGTATAACTGCAGCCTGTGGTGGCAATATGTGTGTAACCTTAATCCAAGTTTCCAAAATAGGGCAGGATAAATATCTAAGGCTTGCATCCTGTACCTTTGCTCCACATGTGTTTCTCCCCCAGAGCTGTGGAGGCTATGGAGCTTGCTTCCCCTTGCACTAGGTGCTTTGAGGCTCATCAAAAGACACTGGAATGGCATAAATGGAAATACTTAGCAATGCAAGCTCCAACAGAGAACTGCCTCTATAGCATCTGGTAAAGGGTATAGAAGTCAAACCGAAATATATATTATCTAAAACATTCGAGAGAAGAACGTGGAGACAAAGCTACTTATGGCCCCTCATCCTATCTCCCAAGGCACAGGCCAAGAAACGCCCTGCAAGATGAAAACCAGCACAGCAAACTAGGGGGCAGAACCTTTCTGTTTTGCTAGTTTTCATTTTGCATGTCTTTATTTAATAAGCAAAGGAACATGACAAGCCAGAATTCACTTCCTGCACTAGTGCAGCCTAACTCACCAACGCCCCTTAGCTCATTCTTCCTCCATGCATGAACCAGAAGGAGAAAAGGAGGAATATGAAGGGATGGTGTGAAAGGCACTTTATCTCCTCACTTGTAAAAGCTCCACTTGTTTGATTTCTACCTTTCAGTCTACTGTAAAGGGTTGAGAAAAGGGCCAACCTTTCGTGGACAGCATTAAAGTACCAAAAGTTGCAGCTGGGGGGTTACATGTTACAACAACCTGCTGCAGCTAGAGGTCTGGGTCTCATCACTGCCTGGATGGAAGGTCTCCCAGGAATCCTAAATAAGCCACCTTACATTACGAGGAAAGAAAAGCAGGACACAAATGCACAGAACAGATAAAATAAATGAATGATGCATTTGCTTAAAGACGACCTTCTATAGGTGCATCATCCTTGCTATACACTGTAACAGTATAAATGGAGTAACAGCTGTGCCATAAAGACACTGGTTAGGGATAATGCTGGACCTCACAGGCTTCCGTCGGAAAAAGAACCTTGAGGTCCAGCTCCGCCCACCGTCCAAGAACGTTCCCAAGGTTGGCCACGCCCGCCACAGGCTCCACCTCCTCCTCACCCCGCCAACAGAGGCATGCTTCTCTAGACCCCGCAATTCGTCCTTTTTGTGCCGGGAAGCACCAGAACGGAAGAGACAGATAGGGAAGCGCGAGGCTTGAGAAGGGAAGAAAAAGGACCTTCCTAGGCTCCTCCAAGCCCGGACTCCGCGACCCTACCTGCTGCTCTGGGGGAAGCTAGCGAGAGGCGGGCCACGGTTCGCGCATGCGCCAGCGGAAGGACGACTGATGCGACATCCGCGAGAGACACGGAAAGGTCATATAATGGAGAGCGAGGCGGCGGGTGCGTCCGTCACACTAACGAGAACGGCGAGGTACATGTGCCACAGCGCCACCTGCTTGGCGTGGTGGTGGTACTGCAAATTAGGCTGAGCTTCCTAGGCCTCTTGCACTATTATGCTGCGCGGGGAACTCGCGGATTCTCGCAGGACCGGCATTTTCCACCGGATCCGAAGAATGTTTCCTCGTAAATAAGTCCCAGTGATTTCAGTGGGGCTTGCACGCACGGAAGTGTCCGTAGGATCGCTTATGCGCCCAGGTGTGAATTCTTCAGTGACTATGTTCCCCTAGCACAATTTAAATTTCGTCTGGGAGCAAAGCCAGAGGTCACGCCAGGAGCATATTTATGTACGCACGCGGGGTGGTGGTAATAAAGGGTCGCGAAATTCATTCCCCAGTTCCAGAATATCATAAATGTTTGCGACACCTTAAAGACTGACTAGGTTTTATTCCAGCATAAACCTTCGTGGACCACACAACTCACTTCATGTGATGCAATGTTGTGGCCCCAGTCCGAGAGATTTATGCTGGAATTAAAAAACAACAACACAACACTCTTGTCTTTCAGGTGCCAGGAGACTCCGCAGTGGACTAACAAAGCTACTCTGAGGGACTTCAGCAAATCAGTTTCACAACTGCCCTTTGTGTGTTTCCCCCTTCATCTGAATTGCTTGAAACATTTCAGGAGAATGTGCTCAGTGCTCGTTGGCCCTTGCAGGGTGGTGTGTGCCTTTTAAAAATGTATGCAGGGCATGCAAAAACCCTACTCTCTTATCTCTAAGGTACCAACAAAATAAAGACCGTCAATCAGTACAAGTGGGAGGCCATGCCCTGACCTACCTAGCCCAGGCAAGCCCAGTCTCGTCAGATCTTGGAAGCTAAGTAGGGCCAACCCTGGCAAGTACATGAATGGAAGACCTCCAAGGAATACCAGGGCTGGGACGCAGAGGCAGGCAATAGCAAGCCACTTCTCTGAAACGTCGGAGCCCCACCATGACTTCCGGGCATAAACACACACAAAATACTCACCAGAGAACAACAAGTGGGAGGCCAGCAAGGAGTCACAAGGAGCATGCTCAGGCCTCAACATGACACAGGAGTGACCCTAAATATAAGTTACTATAGCCCTGGTCACACAGGCCGGATATTGGGGGGGGGGAGGTGTGGCTAATTGCCCCGGCGCAGTTTGATGCACGATGACACGATCAGACGCACCAGCGGCACACCACGGGTCCTTCCCTCGGCGCCGGCAGGTAAACGAGGGACCGGAGGGGAATGCTACGCACTGGCGCGATCACACCACGGGTGTCTGGAGGCAGCCCGTGGCAAACGTTTACTAGTACCTTGGAGGTACTAGTTTTTTAAGGCGCATTGTCGGCGGTAAGCCACCAGTGTGCTCCGCTTCCCAGATGTTGGGGTGTGATTGCGTCCAGATAATCCGCCCACCATCCGTGCCTCTCCCGCGGCAACTTTGCCGTGTGACCGGGGCCAAACTACGTTTTCTGTATAGCTAAGGAGTTCCCCGAGTATGAACACAAGAGCTGCCTTATAGCAAATCAGACCCTTGATCTATCACATACAGTCCTGTCTGCTCTGACGGAGAGCAGCTCTCCCAGGTCTGTGGCTGATGCCTATCCCATCACTGGCTACCTAATGTTATTAAACTGGAGATACTGGGCAGAATCTGCCAAGCAGACGATCTCCCACTGAGCCAGGACCCCATCCTATACAGAAACCACAATCTCGTCTGCAGGTGGACCTCTTCTGCTCCCTCTGTGATAGTCATGCATCATCATCTGTCCTCTCTCCCAACATTGTTTCCCAAATGGCAGCTGTCAAAGAAACAGAATATGCTTCTATGGGGTAAGAAGCCAGCTGGATTCTTAAGGGCTGAGGTCACCAGGGAACATCCCAGTTCAGTTCTTTTCTCTTGTAAGAATACACCATAAGCACTGCACACTGTTGCTGTACCTAGGGTTGCCAGGGCACTGATGGGAGATCTCCTGGTGTTAGAGTTGATCTCCAGAAAACAGAGATACGTTTCCCTGGAGAAAGTGGCTGCTTTGGAAGGTGGACGCCGTGGCATTATACCACCCTGAGATCCCGCCCCCCCCAGACTCTACCTGCAAATCTCCAGACCATTTCTCCAGCTGGAGCTGGCAACCCTTGAATCTGTGCTGCTTCTGGCACTGGGGGACTACAAGGACTGGACACGCAGAAATGTATTCCATTCCCAGATGCCACTGAAATATTCTCGACCTATTTCTGCACATACTCTGCCTGTCCTAACATTTTCCTAACAATCACCATCACAATGCCTCTGAGCACATGCTAAATCACGCATGAATACGCACATGAAGCTGCCTTATACAGAATCAGACCATTGTTTACACAGACTGGCAGCAGCTCTCCAGGGTCTCTCAGGCAGAGGTCTTTCACATCACCCATTACCTGATCCTTTCAGCTGATGATGCCGGGGGATTGAACCTGGGACCTTCTGCATGCAAAGCAGAGACTCTTCCACTGAGCCACAGTCCCTCCCCATTTCCCGCACTACCAAATGAGAAGATGGATCTGTGATTATTAGAGCTGTTCTTACCAATAGGTTGCTGAGCCAAGGCATTACTTACTGTCACCAGGGGGAGAGTGTTTCCCCTGCATCCCTGCTGTAGAGTCTAAAACAAACCAGGAGTCCATTGGCACCTTAGAGCTGAACACAAATTAGGTCTGACGCTCAAATATTTGATCCTAGTTTTATTTTGCCGCTTCAGTACAGACTAACACAGTTATGGGGAGGGGCGCACAGTGGTGGAGCACCTGCTTGGCATGCAGAAGGTCCCAGGTTCAATCTCCTGCACCTCCAGGCAAAAGGTTCAGACAGCAGGGGATGTGAAAGGCTCTGAGACTCTGGAAAGCCACCGCCAGTCAGCAGTGTGACTCAGACTGAAGTAGCTACACGTGTGTTCACATGTTTGTACCCATCTGGAATCTATATATCCTGCAGGCCTCACAAACCTGGAATTCCTCCATAACCCACCCACCCCCAACCCGCAGCAGTCATAGTGGTGATGAGCTTTTTGTGCAGAATAGTACAAGATGAGACTGAGAGCAGATTGGGTTTCTGGCAGGGGATGCCTAATGGAAAACCCCAATCCAGACAGATCCATTTATATAGGATTGGGCAGTTGAGGAGCTTAATCTGGCTCACAGGATTTTCCCATCTGGTCACTTCTGGTCCCAATGACACACACACACACCCTCGCACACACACACATACACATTAGGTAGCTCAGCTGCTTTCTCCCATGTGAGACGGAAGAGTTCTTGAATTCCTCCCCATATTAATAGCTCGAGAAGCTTAGTAAGGAGCCCTTTGGTGTAGTGGTTAAGAGCGGTGGACTCTAATCTGGAGAACCGGGTTTGATTCCACACTCCTTCTCCACATGCAGCCAGCTGGGTGACCTTGAGTCAGTCAAGGTCCTCTCAGAGCTCTCTCAGCCCCTGAGAACAAGTCTAGCTTGCCACCAGCACAATGCTAAGAGCTAGAACTTGTGGCTGCCAGACAATCTTCGGATCTCCTGGCCAATGCTCCCTCTAAACTGTGGAGTCTTATGAGCAAAGTCTACCTTGCGAGCTACTGGCATTAAAGTTGTGAGCGAGCGATTTGGCTGCTGCATCAGTTAGTTTGCTCTGGAGCCATCCTTCCTGAGCTGAAACAAAAATGTGTGAGCCGGAGGCTAAAAAACTGTGAGCTAGCTCACACTAACTCCTCTTAGAGGGAACACTGCTCCTGGCTGTTCTACACACAATGCCATACGATAATTAGATAATTAATCAATTAGGAGCCCTTCTGCATCTCCCTTGTCATTCCCTCTTGTTTCTTCCTTGACTCACACACAGGAGATTCAGTGGAGGATGTGTGCGTGAAGTGGGAGGAGAGAAGCAAAGAGACCCTGGCCTGTGGATTCTCTCACCTGGGCATGGATCCCTGGCTGGAGGCAACGTTCAGTTCTCGCTGAAATCGAAACGTCGGTTGCAAACTAGTTGCTAACTAAGGCTCTGGTTCTACCAACCAGATTTTCATAGCGCTGGTTCTTTTCCCCATGTCTGTGTCACCTGGGCATAATCTACCTTCCTAGCCTTTACCTTACAAATCCCACCCTTCCTCCAAGCTCAGGGTTATTTCCATGGTTTTCTCTTATTTTATATTCACAACACCCCTGTGAGGTAGGTTAGGCTGAGAGAGTTACAGTTTCAAGGTCACCCAAAATGCCTTGATTCTCAGATTCTGGTCTGACACTCTGGCCACTACAGAAGTCTTGTGGAGCTAACAAGTTTATAATCTAGCACGGGTTTTCAACGGGCTTGAGCACCAACAGATGTATGCAGTGGCTCTCTCTTAAGGGATAAAAAAGAAACTGTAAGTAGCAGAGTCAAAGGATCAAGAGAGACAGGGAACACCAGTTGAGGTGTAATTATGTGATATTCAAATTTAATGAGGCAAAGTTAACATTTCTATGATAGCAATAACTAGTCATAATGCTGCTTTCCTAATTTTGCTAAACCGAGGAATTTGGAGTCCTTGTTAAGCCTTCTTAATCTTGAGACAGTGTCATACTTGATCAATTCTAATTCAGCAGTTTCACGCTGGAGTCTCCCTTTGAAGTTCATTTGCAGGGAAATTGCGATACTGTGTCCTGCCAGACTGCAAAAGACCCTCATGAGTTTCTAATGCTGCCATTTTTAAATGTCAGATTAAATTGAAGATTTAATGTCTCTTTTTGTTTTGCTTTGCAGAGGGACTGCCATGTATGCCCTGTGTAGAAAGCAGAAGGGTACTGTGGACACATGACAGAGGATATTATGCTAGTGGAGGAGCGAGTAGATGGTGGTAATTAGACCCTTCCTTGGTGGATGTGGGGACAGAGTTGGTATCTGGGTTTGTTGCAGGATCTGATCCTTGATAAAAATGT